GCTGCAAAAAAGTATCGTCAACGTCATTCCAAAGTCAATAGAGAGGCTGTAAAGAAGTATGCATCTAATAACCCCTACATTAATCAGGCAGCTACAGCTAAATACAATAAAAAGGTATCACAAATCAGATCAATGCCTTGGAATAAGTATTTGTCTGGTTAACTATGAACCTCAGATTGATTACTCCAGGAAAAGGTTGTTGATCTCGGACCTCGGTTACCGTGTGCCTAGTGCTGTGCCCTGAAGTAGCAGGATGAGACTCCCAGGATGTGCTGCAGTAGCGGTAAAGTCCAGCTCCCTCCCCTTGAGCCCTCTCCTGAGAACCTTATACAGCCTTCTAACCCACCAGCATCCAATGGCAGAGCACTTTCTTTAGGCTGCCCAGAAGTAAAACGGATGCTTCCAAATGACGTCTTTTGGAGCCAGAGAGGTGAAGGAGGGAAATGTTATGCCAACATTCAAAGTGCAGGATCAGGGAATATTATGGTGGGGCCTCAGCAGCAGCCTTCATTTCTCCAGATATACCTTGTTGGTGATGATGACAATGAGAAGGACATCTGCTACCCGGGCGTTAATCCAGAACTGGTTAGCCAACTGCACAAGTTGCTGCGTGAACACAACAAGTATATTCTGGAACTTAAGGCTGCTGTTGATTCTGTTCCTAAGGGCCACACGGACTTCAAAGTGGTGATTAACACCAATAGGAAGCCTTCTGGAGAGCACTGAGGTCGTTTCAATGCCCTCACGACTACAGAAGTGGCTGTTCTCATTGTCAGCCAGGGTTTTGAAAAGAGAGATATTGTTCTCCATAGCAGAGACAGCAGGTTGTTATGAATCAGTGAGACGCACCGTGCCTATGACGCTCTGCAGTACCCTCTGATGTTCTGCCATGGAGAAAATGGTTATTACATGAATATACCTCAGTGCGATGCAAAGACCAGGGGTAGCCAATCTCATTGTACACATGTTGTACTCTGACAATAAAGGTAATAATAATAAGGTCCTCTCAAGAAGATCGTGTCTGCTGTCAACTTTTACAGCTGGAGAATAATGGAGCGTGATGGCAAGGAATGCTACCTACTGCTGTTCTGCAACCTTCTCAGTCAATTTCAGTAGTGAAGCATGGGTATCCAGCTTGTTATTTAATATAAGGATAGGGCTACCAGAAAGAAACCACTTGACTTAAATGCAGACTACTTTCTATCACGAACATTTCCTTTTAATCAGAGGGTTCTAAAGCATGATTTTGTTGCTTTTTAGTTAAATTTCCAGTCCAACAGTTTGGCAACCCTGATTAAGTAATCTTCCCAAGCTGGCTGTGAAATAGTAAAGCACCTGAAAGATAATGTATGTCATTGATATAGCTTCATAAACTGTTTCAGAGTTTACATTAATATTTATTTACTTTTGGATGGATTTTTAATTTAAGAAAAGATTTTAAAGGTGTTCCTTTTTTCATGTAGCATAGATAAATGGACAGATGATGATTATCATACTTCAGTCCATCTGCAACAGGCAGTGGCAATATGTACTTCTCCAGGGATATAGATTTGCTGGATTACAACTGTCATGATTACTTGATTACTGATGAATCTGATGGTAATTGAGTTCACTAACATCTGGATGATCACACCTTATTTCCTAATTTGTCATTTTTACTTCCTCATAATTCTCAGGCAGATGCTTAATGCCATATGTTGGTATTTAAGAAATGCTCCTACTTTCTCATCCAGAACACTATGCCCATAGATTCTCTCTGCCTATGACATTCTCAAAAACTCTGAACTTGGCTATTCTCCCAAGGATAGGGAGTTGAAGCCCTATCAGTTGTTGATTATTTTTGTTTCATTGTATGTTTTGTAATTGTGCATGATTCTTTTCTTTTTTGTTATTTGTCATTATTGATTTTAGTTATAAGTCACAGAATTGTCTATGGTTAGGCAGCATCTATATTCAAATAAATAATCCTCATCTGTTTTGCCATCTTTCAAGTAAGGAAGATTCTCCCAGTTCATTAAAGGACATTTGGACAGCTGTAGTAGCTACTAAGATCCTATAGATGGCTCTAGATGCTAGCAGCAAACTGCAGTGTTTAAAACCTATATGGGGCTTCTTGGCTACTTGCATGATCTCATTCCCTATATCTTGGTGAAGGTGGAAAGTCCTGGACTTTCCAGACATATAGGTGATCTCATTTACTAACAACACCACTAGTCTTAAGGATTGGTTGGGAGGTTGTACCAATGTGGTAGAGAAGTTTCACCCATGTAGGATTTATTCTCCAATCCAAATGCTGTATCTATGCTATGTTTCCTTGCTTGTAAAAGGGGTATAAAAAGAATAAACGCCACGTATGTGGTCAGACATCTTGGCACCCTGCACAATGCCTGGTCTTTGACATCCATCAGACAGCATATGGTCATTCCTTTCACATGTTTAGTAAACAAATAAATTTTATTTATTTAAACTTCCATGCCACCCAACTTCATATTGGCTCTATGAAATTCATACCATAAAAAACAAAATTACAAATATACAAAAAAGTAGAAAACATAAAATGTAAACAAAATGGTGGCACTGATAAGAATAATTTCTCCTCTCCAGTTTGCGACTTGGAAAATGAAGAAGAGGATGCCAGACAGAATGGTATCCCTACTTACTTTTGACTCTGGTGCCATTCAGAGCATGATTTCCATTAGATTATTTCTGATTAAGATGATTTTTAAAAATTGCCCATTCCTGTTCTATGCAAATAAGGATAATGATATTTCATCTTTAAAATGTCTCTTTACTATGTCTAGTATATTAAGTTTTTTTCTGGCCTACAAAATGTGATAAAAGCAGAAGACAGAAGCAAATTCCATCTCAATAAAAATAGCTGAAAGAATCAAGTACCTGATTTCATCCCTTCAAACTACTTATATTAAGGGTTTGCCATGGTGACTATCAAAACTTGAAGAAGAGTGCAAATTCTGGAGAATACTTTTAAATAAAGTTAAGTAGCAATTTTACTGAGCAGTAATGACATTCTAAATGAACATCGAAAATGCAGTTTCAACTAACTTTAAAGAACTTTTGATTGGAAACTAGAACAGACTTTCCAATTTGAAAATCCTGTAGATGTGTTCAATATTGTCAGGGAATTGGGCAGCTGGTATCCAAATGGAGTCAGCTGACACAAACCAGTTTATTATATAAATAAATACATTTACAGTAAATACGATAGGCAAACAGGAATATCATCAGGTAAATCAACATAGCAGGAACATCACTAGGAAAATCACAGAGCACATAGAGGCACGCAGAAGAAAAAAGGCAGGAAACAAGAAAAAAAAATCTTTACTCAACCCCCCTATTATTCTTTATGAACTTGCATGTAAACATTAACTTGCAAACATTAACTTGTACCCTTCATTATCTAAGCAAGACACACTCAAATTGTGATCTAAATCTGGTACACATAAATCTGGTACACATTTGCCAGGCTTACATATTCCAGGGCAATTAGTCCTAGATTAGAAAAAAAGTTTTGGTTATTTACAATAGGCTCACTTGCCCCACTGTCCAGCAGCCAAACGTTTTTAGTGACTTTGTTGTTTGCCTTCACCACAGAAGTCTATGTGTCTTCTTTCTTCCATTGTGGCACTTTCTCTTTCTTTCTTGAATCTTTTAATATTCTTGATGGGAAATTTCTCTGGATATGCAGACTGAATACACATGCAAAGCAGCATTTTAATACACATACTTTATCCACCATCTTGTTATTTCACTGGAAAACAGTTCCTTTCTGACTGAGGTGTAAATCACTTTTGTTTCCCCTGGATGCAATGTACTTTTCCAATTGTTTCTATTCTTCTTCGAAAAGTCTCCCAGTCACACAACTCATTGTTGAATCACACTCGTACATGGACTCCAGGCTTGTTATTAACACATCCCACGTATCAAGGGAGCTTAATACAACATACACTTTGTGCATTCTGAAAACATGATTCCTCGCTCTTCTAACTCAAGGAAGGTTTTCCTCATAAACTGAAAGTGATCTGACACACTATCTCCAGACTGTAACCTTGCTCTATAAAGTTTTCTGGTGAAAGTAACTTTGCTGCTTCCAGTCTCCCTTATATAAATTCTGCATAAGGCCAGCCAGCATTCTCTAGCAGATGTAAGCCCACGCATATGTATTATTTTCTAACCACAATCTTCCAAGTATCTTCCAAGCAGAAAATTATGCTGGAATTTTTATTCTGTCTTTGCCCCTCCTTATTGAGATCTGAAGGAGGATTGCTTACAACTCACCACAAATCCTCCCTTCACAGAAAAATCTTCATCTTTAGGCTCCATGAGAGATAATTTGTCTCATTAAGACGAGCCACAGGAAATCCTTTTCCGATTCCTGTAATGGATAGCATCATGCTGTCTTTACAGGCCAACAGTCCTCAAACTTCTTCAGGCTCACGAAGAAACATTTTCCTCAGAAAAATACTATTGGCTCTTCAGGGCATTTTTGGGCCCATAACCTGTCATGGAATTGTGTAGCTGGTGTCCAAATGAGTCAGAAACACTGACACGAACCAGTGGTTTTATATAAATAAATATATTTACAGAAAATAAGATGGGCAAACAGGAGCATCGTCAGGTAAATCAATACAATAGAAACATCAGGAGTTAAATCACAGAGAGCACACATGGCATACAGAGGAAAAAAGGCAGGAAACATGGAAACTCCCCCCTTTACTCTCATGGCAAGCAATTACAGCTCAGATTCCCTCATGCAATACCCAACTCTTTTTAACCAATTAGCTATAACTCTGTCCAATCCTTCACTGCTCCAGCTATTAAATCATCAGTAGCAGTTGGAATTTTTCTCCTATAGTTATTTAGTATTTTATACTTTGAAAAATGTGAATGAACTAGTTTCCTGTTATAAAACTTGCATATTTATAAAATTTTAAACAATGAGTTATAATTAACAAAAGAAATATCAGAAAGCTACAGCTTACCTCATATTACCTGCCATAAGAAGACATAGATTGTAAATATGAGAAAAGATGAAGAGAAAAAGTATGGTGCTGAAAAACATTGTCATCCAAGAACCATGATCCTCTCGAAACATTTTCAACCGAAGTAGCTGACCTGCAAAGATATTAAAAATTTATTCAGATTTCTCAAAGAACTTCCTACTATTCTAGAAAAGACAGAATAGTACAGAATTTGTAAACATGCCAAGACTCAGCTTTAGCTCCATGAATAATTCCTACTTACACTGAAGCAGAGAGTAAACGTCTCTGCCCCTTGTAATGTGGCTTGGAAAGTATAAGTCAAATCCATGTTTCATCAATGCAACATTTCCTAGACCAAACTCAATTTCATTGAGTGCTGCATCAGGGCTGTAGTTGACCTTCCAGGGGTACGGTGACTGGGTGGGTGTGCCCAATTGGGTGGCCATGGCCGTCTTGACTCCACTCACTGGGCGTGGCCAACTGGGTGGGTATGGCCAGCTTGACGCCACTCCCCAAATTGCTGGCATGTTTCCTCTTCGCACTGGATAGACCAGGCTGAAGCCACATTGGCCCAATGTTTCCTCTTCACACTGGGTAGACTGGACTGAAGCCACACTGGCCCGATGTTTTCTCTTCGCATTGGATAGATCGGACCAAAGCCATGTGCACCGGCCCCTTACATTTTCCAGGATGGCCCCATGAGCCAGATCTGACCACATCCTGGGTTTGATCCAGCCTATGGGCCTTGTGCTTGACACCCCTGCCCTAGACAATAGACATTTTACAAAAAAATGTGTAAAGCATCCAGAAAGTATCCATGATATCACTCACTCCGAGACATTTTCTCTCCAATTGATTTATTTAGAAACAGACCTGGTATGTCTAAAGCAATTTCCCAAAGTGAAATTTTTTCGCGTGTTACATAGAATCCACCTTTTCTCCTCCCACTTCTACACTTCATAAATCACGAGAACCAATTAACTGCAACTGGAATTCCTTAATACAACATACAGAATAACCTTGAACTTTTCAACTCCTGCAACTTAAAAAAATGTGGCAGCTGAATTTCAAAGCTGACAAGATGTTGTTTTTAAATGGCTCCCACTGAGCAAGACTTTCTTCAGAAGTCCTCTTCCTCTAGAGCAGTAGTGTCAACCTGGCAGCCCATGGGCTGGATGTGTCACATGCAGGCCACATCCACCCCACCTCCACGAAGGGGAAAAATGTCGCAAAATGTCAGGTAATGACAACGTGACACAGCTGGGCACCCATGCTCTAGAGCCTGTTTTTCCACATACAGTACTTTTTGATGGCCCTGTTGACATATTATACTAGAAAACCATTCTGACAAAAGTAGTATTATTGTCAGAAGCAGATATCTGAACAGTACTGCTTCCATTCCAGGTGCTGAAACACCCAACAGTTTAATCTTATTTGGCTTATATTACAATTTAAGGTGAAGGTTATATTAGACTATACATGGAAAGCTGCTTCTCCAACATTTATTATTTCTTCACATGTAACGCTTATGATGTATTTGGTCTAGAACAGGGGTGTTAAACTCATGGTGTCATGACGGCATCACATGAAGTATCAGGACTTTTTTCCCCTTCGTTAAACCGGGCGTGGGCATGGCCAGCACATGACGCATCTGGCCTGCAAGCTTGACAGCCCTGGTCTAGAATAACCTGTGAGAAAAATATATTAATATTAGTTGCCCTTAAACTATTTATAAGACAATGTCCAGGAAAATTTGGCTAATGAGAGGACATAACACATTCTGTTAGAGAGAAGTTCCCTGACGATTGGCTCCAGTAGGAGTCCAAAAGCTCGGAAGACTAAATCTCTGATCGTCCCAAAGGTGCTTTTTCAAGAAGCAACTCGTTTGCTTGTTTCTGGCCTGGGTGGGCTCCAGGAGGACGGGCCATGCCAGATGGGATATTGTGATGTCTCAGATTCCTCCTCCTATGTCAGTTCAGGAGAGGATCAGCCCATTCTTAGCATGTCAAGAATTAAGTTGATTGATGGCTTGGAACAGCTGTCTGGAAAAGATTTGGAGAAGGCTTCAGCTGGAAAAGCTTGCAGTGGCAGATGGCCAGCGAAGAGGTGGAAGACCTGCCTTCTGCACCTGATCTGAAAACACATACAGCAGAGAAAAGGCAGGAGCAGCAGAGGTCAGCCAGACTACTCGAGAAGAGAAAGCCCTGCCTGTGTTGATGGCTGCACTGGAAAGCTGACTATTTATCATAGCAGACAGATGGAGGCATTGCTGGGAACAAAGTGTGTGTTTTCTAGATGTGTGTCTTTTGTCATCATATTTCCTGCTTGTTTCTGGATTGACACCATGATTGGAATTGATTTGTGCCTTGGAGCCTGGACTTTTTCTGCGTCATGAGCTCTCTTGTGTGCGAATTTACATTTGTTTGGTGAAGTTACTTTGTTTCAGCAACTTTCATTGGCCCATTGCTCTGTGGACTAATTTTGGCTGCTCATGGTTGGACTTAATTGGGACAGGTCTGCGTTTTGGTGAAGGGAATTTCTGGGGAATATTACTAAACTCAGTAAACCACAGTTATGTGTGTGTGTGTGTGAGTGAATGGGATAGCACATCATCTCAATATGGCCATGTTGCTGAGGCCAACTCACTGCGAAACAACTCACCATAGGACAACTCACCATGGCCAACTCTCAGCGGAACAATCTATGTGGGATAATTCAAAAAAATAACTGTTATCCGCCATTGTTTCTTCTACACTACTTCCATTTTTGTCAATGGAAATAATGTTGAAGAAACAGAGATGGGTAATATTTATTGCACTGAGTTATACTGCATGGAACTGTCCCACAGCGAGTTGTCTCATGGTGAGCTAGCCACAGCGTATTGAACCATGTCAAGTTGGCTGAGGCGGCATGGCAGCAGTGAGATGACTGCATCAGGTTGGCCATGATAAGATGACCAGGGTGGATTGGCCATGGCAAGATGGCTGCAGAAAGTTGGCCATGGTAAGTTTTCCCATTCTGAGGGAATAAGCTATACATTTGGGAATCAGATGATCCCCAATCACAAGATAGAAATTTTAGATGGTAGATAACAAGACAAAAAAAAATTCTTTAGTACACTGTGAATGTAGATTAAAAAACTGGATATTAATAATTAGATATTATTTACATAATCAAAGCAGATAAATACTGTACATTACACTGAGACTTGGCAAGGCCTCTGCTGCATTTTTATTTAAATATAAGGGTGTTAAACAACATCATCATCAAAATGCTTTTAACACAATTTGGGACTTACCAAATAGACGCTGGTGGAAGACAAACTTGCCAGCTACGAGTCCTGTGAGAATGGCAAGTAGCCACAAAGTCACTTTTAAAAAGTTCCAACCATCTCCATCAGGATGTTTATTTGCAATGAAGGAAAAGCAGTTTCCAACAACAATGACGTTTGCTTCTGTTTGGCTGTGAGATACTGGATCCTCAGCAAATATTAAAAAATTAAAGAAGATCACTAGGTAGGCCACAATTAAGCGAGACCATGGATGCTGGAAGTAGTAGCGGAAGTCTTTTTCCATTCTTAAATGCTTCAATCCCTGCACACAAAAACAAAGTTGGGAATATTCTATTATATTCTTAAAACTTAGGAAGCTACATTTTCCTTCTCTTTCCTCCAAAACTTTTTCCTTTAGCAAGCCTCCCAGGAGCAACTATTTGTTTCAACCAGATTTCTCCCCAAAAGGTGATTTATTAAACACATTGTTGACAAATCAAAGAAAGTAGGATTGAATGAAACCACTTTACAAATGTACCTTTTTATGTATTAGGCAACAAAAATTGGAAACTCTGAAGAAAAAAATATTTCGCAAAGACATACCTAATTTATATACTTGCCTATCAAAAAAACCTGCCAGTTTCTGAATTAATAGAATATAAGCCCATAAAAATACAATATAAAAGAAATACATGTAGGCAGTATTCATTCATAATACCATTGTATCGTTTTTATTTGACTTCTGTATTAACTGTGTCCAAATAATAGATATGGATAAAACCCCATTGGAATTAGTGGCCTGTAAAATATTGTAATTAGTTTGTTCAATTGAATAAAAAGTCTTTCTGTTACATTTGAGCTAACGTTCAGGTAAATGTAATAATATAATAAAATTGAGTACAATTGTTAGTGGTTTTGTGGAACTTCTGCTGTATAAAAATGCAAGTGACTTGTACTTTTTGTTGGAAGTATCATTGATACACACTGAGTTTATTTGTTGCATAAAACTGAACTGGCTTATATGTCGGATACAAGTTGGAATCTTGAAGCAAGATTTTTTTTTTCACTTTTAAATTGTGCATATATTTTTGTATGTTTTCTGGTTTGAAAGGAAAAAAGAAAACAAATGCTTCTTAAAACAATGTTTGCCATCTGACAGTTAAAAGGTATTCCTCTTTAAAATTATACATTAGTTATTATGGAATGGAAGATTGTTGCTGCCATTTACTATCAAACACCAATTAATATTTCAGAACACTTAATTGCCCTGGTTAATTGCCTACAATCGTGTATATGGATGGCTTCAAAACAGTGTTGAGTCCTGGCAACCACTATACTACACTAAGCTGGCATGCATTTTTATTTGTATATACTGCACTAAAAGTGATTTCCATTCATTCTTGCAATCTTGCCTAAAAGCCAAAAATCCTTACTATGAAACAAGAATGGGCATTGGTAGAAGTTACCGTGAACGCCCTTTCTATCTATGCTGGATGGGTTGACTCCTTCCTATGACGTCATTTAGCTGAGTCTGTACTAAGATATAAAAGCCAGCCCCCGGGAGAGACCCCAGCTTTGGCGAAGATACTTGACAGACTGAAAGGTGTCTCTGAAAGCACAAAATGAATACAGAAATATGTCTTATCCTCTCTGGACGAATCAAGGGAGGGGCTGGGCTCTCTCGCAGCATAGATAGAAAGGGCATTCACGGTAACTTCTACCAACACCCATTCTCCTCCATGCTGCATCGAGAGCCCAGGATGGGATATACCAAAGCTTGCATGTCCATGGGCGGGTCCTTGTCCAGCTCATCACACCAACTGTGAAGGCTGGCAGCAGTGATGCAGTGGACCCCAAGGAGCTGTGCCCAGTGCAGGGCTGCTCGAAGAAAAGAGCAGCTGCAGCAGCATGAGCGACCCCAGAGTAAGGCTGCAAGGTGATGGCCCCTCCCTTAAGGGATAAAAGCCAGCCCTCAGAGGTGGGATTCTTTGCAGGAAGCAAAGAAATTCTTGCACTTCAAATCTTGTGGAAGTTCAGACTATGCTGGTTTGTGTTTGGAGACTTTTGGTTTTGATTATTTCCTTGCAATTTAATCTAGTGTTCTTGGCAGCCTTGCACAACCTTGGCAAGGCTTGTTCTTATCTGGGACAATTAGTTTTTAATAGCGTTTTACTGTGAATGAACGGAATCCACAGAGAAGCATTAAAAAGGTTTTGCTTTTATCTCTGTTTGGTGTTTGTTTGCTTTGAGTGAGGCTTGGGTCAGAACACGCAGGCCAGTTCTTTGCTGTTTCCATGGTGGGCCTGCAGGCCAGATCTAAGTACCCTGTGGGCCGGATCTGGCCCACGAGCCTTCAGTTTGACACCCCTGCTCTATAATGAAAGACAAGTTCCATCAAATTTGATTGCTATTAATTATGTTAATGGTCAGTTAATAGATATTCTTATTTGTACAATTATCATTTAGGATAGAAATATATTGAATATAGATGCTTAAAATGTTTATCATACTTATCTCTATCTGTACTTATTGTAACATTCTAAGAATTCTATTTATTAATCAGACATCATTATGCAGTCTACTTTTTACTTTTGGATTAGTTTTATTTGTAACTATTTTTCCTTAGTGTTTCTTTTCAATTTTGCACAACAATAATAATTACATAAAAATGAGATGGAAGAGTAATATGAAAGAGTTTTCAACTATAAACGTTTGCTGATACCTTAAGTCTACTTTAACTTAGATGTACAGCACAGGGCACATTTCAATCCTGAGTATCCTGAGATTTAGAAAAAAGCAAATTGTTTTTCTGTCTAAAGCATGTACTCCATAATGTACTATCATTTTGTATTTATAAAAATAATAAAATGATGATTCTCAGTGCCTTTTCAAGAAAAAGTATCAATAAATGTACCAATCCTTCTTTTAAGGAAAATACCATTTTTTCTGACAATTCAAACAGCTAATTATGTCAGAGTAGCAGTATCTGTAAGGATAAGATTTAAATGTCTGAATATTTTTGGCAAATATTTATTTAGTGATAAGTGCCACTTGGAAATATAGCTCTTTATAAATCTTTGCAGCCAAAATTTGCCATTGTGGGAACATATTTGAAAAGTATGGACAAGTTCATGGACAATTTATCACTTTGAAGAAATGACTTTAAAATGGAACCATAAGGTTTCTAAAATAGATCTACAGCAGTCTGTTACATTATGAGATTATTATATGCACAGAAAAAGAAAGATTTGACACCACTTCGCTATAGAGAAATGGTGGGTAAAGTCGGCAAATTGTTTGAAATCAATCAGTTGACTTCTTTGATTAGAGAAAAGACATTATCTCTACATTTACTGGTGACTGGAAATGTCTAATGGACTTTTTGTGTAAAAATGAAAACAATGAACTCGTGATTTATATATTTTTGATTGCTAGATATAATATGTTACAGAAGGAAGAGTAATATAACTTTAGAGAGGTTAAAATATATTTGTACCTATGTCTGCAGTGAAGAATATTGGAAGCAACATTTTTATATTTTTTTCTCTTTCATTTCTATTTTTCTTCTATTTCTTTTTCCATGCACCTTTTGCTTTCATTTTAATCTCTTTTCTTTATATTTGCATGTGTTGTTTTTTAATCTTGTTATATACACACACACCCACACACACATATACACACACATAAAAAGATCCACCACAGCTTTCTAGAAGCTGGTTCTGTTTCTCAAAAACTATGCGAAAACAGGAATTCTGGGAACACAACCTAGTGTAAATTACACACTGCACAAGAAGTGGAGCACATTAAGCAATTTATTTAAAAAATTCAAAAGCCACACAGCACTTTCATATACAAAAAAAGATTGCCAAACAAAGTGATTCAATGTTTTGAACAATAAAATGTTTTGGGCATCAGTAAGGGAATTTTCACAAGACCCCCTTGTATGCCTGGCCTGAGAGCCACAACTCATCTGAAGGGTTGTATTCAAAAAAGTTTTATAATTATTATGGATAACTTTTATATTAGTGTAACAGAACACAGTGTTTCTATTAATGTTAGAAAGAGCTAAAACATTAGAAGAGGAAAAATTTTCAAATATCAATACTAAATGGCAGGAAAGCCCTACTATGACACTTTTACTCCTATTACTAACATGAATCTTTTCACCTATCTCAATTAAGTACTGTAATTCCTCAAAATGATAAGCCCCAATATAATGAGGCAGAATATGAACAATATAGGACTTTTAAATAATGTCTTTATGCCCTTTACTATGTGGAACTTTAAAAAATGTAAAGTAGAATAATATTATATCTTTTGTAGATGAGTAACATAACTTCTAATATCAAATTTAAACAGAGATATCCAAGGCAGCTTCTTAAGCATTATAAATATAACTTTGGTTCATATTGCAACTCTAATCCTATACAGAACCTCCACACAAAACTGTTGGAAGTCATTATACACATGCAAACAATTCTACAAAAGTATTTTAAAATAAAATAGAAAAATTGTTCTCTGAAAATCCAAACCTTCTATTACCCCCCCCCCCCCAAAAAAGGGGGGGTTAAATGTGAAAGATAAGGTAAAAAGAATTTACCACACCTTTGTCTGGTGGCCTAGTGTTAATTCTGGGTAATGCAGCATTAAGAATAAGGTGCCACCAAAAACAAAGGTGACAAGTGCCATTCCTTCACATAAACAGCTGAGATGATAATGGAGTGGAAGGTGAAGATGGACCTTAAGGTTTCGATCTTAGGCTCTTAATTTGAATGGCTTTTTAAAAAATAGGATCCAAAAGGAAAAAATTAAATATTTTCCCACGCATTTATTTCTAGTTCCATCTCGAGGAATTCACAATTTCCATATATAACGAAGTAGGTTAGTAATAAAAACGTGCCAAAAACAACGTGCCTTCGAAAACGATACAAAGAAGAATAAGAGTCTGCCTATCCTCGCTAGAACACGTGTCACACCCCGCATTTTTCCTGTGTCCGGGGCACGCACGGGCTAGTCACAGTTAGAGATCATTTTTTTCGGAAACTAAGGAAATAAAACCTCGTCAACTAACTCCCCTCTTATATATTCCCGGAATTAATTCCACTAGGCAGCAGCTTTGAACCCTACAATTCAGGCGCGAGCATGTGCAGAGCACCTTTCACTCAGCACCGACTGTTTACGCTTGTCCCCCAAATTTCTTACCCGGTTTAAAGGAAGCAACTCCCCGGCACTCTGAACTGATATTAGCGCTGCCTTTTAAATGCTAAATTAAAAAAAAAAAAGGCTAAGTCACGGCGGGAAATCGATCAAGGCCAAACAGGCCAAAAAATGCCTGACGGGCTGCTGCTAGAAGCGGAAGCAGAGGGGGCGGCGTTTTTTACTCACCCCTCCCGAGCCGCCAAACGCGTTTTGTTTTCGGACTGAAACGGATCTTCCTTGCCGTTTGTACTCGTCAAGACTTTACCGCGACACAGAAAGCTGCTCTCACCATTTCTGAATGTAACATTAAGCCCTGAGTAGCCCACGCTCTTTTCTAAGCCCCAGAGTGGCGTGAGTGACCTTAGCGGCTGTCCCCTGCTTGTATCTCCCGGGTCCCGCCGCGCTTTTTTCTCGACGAGGGGAAAGACAAGAAGGAGCTGCGCTAAGGCCGATTTACGGCTGTCACCAATAGCTCCCAAAGGCAAATGCTGCTGCTTTCTTCCCTTCCAGGCCTCAATGCCTTAATGCAAGTAACTAATTGTGGGGAGGAGGAAGGAGCTACGATGTTGATGTCCAAGGGTGGAGAGAAATATAGTCACTGATCTCGGATCCATAGTCAAAGAACTGGTCTAAGCGTGGAAACACAGTTACAGATTTTCCAAGATCGCTTTTCTCCTGCAAGTCGAATTGTTTATTTTGATCTTTTGGAAACACAGTTACAGATTTTCCAAGATCGCTTTTCTCCTGCAAGCCGAATTGTAAGCCCCAGGAGGTAAGACAATGTAATATCCGGGCCAATATCATTGGGTACTTCTTAAGTAAGCGAGATTGTGAATTGTAGACTTTTCTCCTCTACAAAGGACTGTTGTCCCCAATTCGGGTCTGAGCCTGGTGCTAAAGCCAAATGATCCACGCCAGACATGAGGTGCAGGTTTTCTGATTGCCTTTTATTGGAGTACTCCAAGGAAAAGGGCTCCTGGTCAAAATGCCAAGAACAAAGGATTGAGCAAGTTTTATACATTTTCACCAAAGGAGAAGGTAGGACAAAGCGAAATAATAAGAAATATCATCTAATAAACATTTTAGTAATAATTCTAAAATTTGTTCTATTGGTCTCTAGCTTTCCCTATTCCCAAGTCTTGGCTAATGAATGCCCTAGGACCGCGATGGCGAATCTATGGCACGTGTGTCAGAGGTGGCACACAGAACCATGGCGAATCTATGGCATGCGCCTGTCACCAGCTGCTCTTCTGGTTCCTGCCGCCAGATGGTCTTCGTGGGTGTTGAAGCACGCCCGAAAACTGGCCAAAAAACAGGCTGTTTTTCAGGCTGTTTTCAAGTATTTTTCAGACCATTTTTCAGGCCCCAAAACAGGCATGTGCACCGACCAGCTAGTCTTTGGTTTTTCCGGCGCTCCAGCACGCGCACATGCAAGGGCATGCATGTGGGTTCTGTTTTGGGCACTCGGTGCTGACAAGGTTCACCATCACTGCCCTAGGAGTTATCTCATACACATTTGATTGATTCCTAACTTTTTAGCTGAGGTCTGCAAGTTGCCTAACTCTTGTTACTTTTATCAGCTTTCTAATTAGCCAGGATTGTGACAAGATTTTCACATGCATATTTCCTGTGGATAAGAATTCTTTGTTCTTGCCAGATACACTCCACAATTACAGGCTTCCTTGATTTATTTTGAAGTGTGTGTATGACCTTGTTTTATTTTAGCAGACAGCTAAATGAGTTTCCCCACCCATCCTGGCTTAGGCACCAAACAACTTTGCCACAAGATTTGCTATTGAGCAGTTCCATTCTGTGTTTATGGCATGTTTCCTAGCCTGGGCTGTCCACATTTCAAGGGTCCCAGTCATTACAGGGAAGGGTACCTGGCTTTCTGTTATGGATCTGCTGCCTTCCCATCTCCCTGGTCAATCAGGACACTGCAGCAGGAAGAGGTTGGTCTTGTCTTCAGAATAATTTGTAGATTTAGTACCTTTGGGTACTAAAATCAAAATAAAGTTCAAAGAAAAAAATGACAAGATTCTAGGATAGAAATATAACAGCGTGGAGACAGGTTTGCTATGGTGGGCTAAATAGATAGAGGGATAGATGGACGGATGGATAGAAGGGGGTGGATAGATGGAGGGATGGATTCAGGGATGGATGCAGGGATGGAGGGATAAATGGATAGATGGATGCAGGGATGAAGGAATAGATAGAGGAATAGAGGGATAGATAGACATTTATTTATTTACTTGTCAAGCGATTATAAGATAACAGGTGTAAGTATAAACATAATTATGAATACATGAAATGGATACATATAAGAAAAATAAAAAGAAACAATAGGACAGGGACAGTAGGCACGTTGGAGTGCTTATGCATGCCCCTACAGACCTCTTAGGAAAGGGGTTAGGTCAATAGTAGACAGTCTAAGGTTAAAGTTTTTGGGGTTTGGGGAAGAAACCACAGAGTCAGAGTATTCCAGACATTGACCACTCTGTTGCTGAAGTCGTATTTCTTGCAATCAAGTTTGGTGCGATTTACCTTGAGTTTGTATCTATTGTGTGCCCTTGTATTGTTATGGTTGAAACTGAAGTATTCATTGACAGGTAGGGCATTGCAATATATAATTTTATATACTATACTTAGATTGGACCAAGGCGACATAGTTCTAGGTTTTCTAGGTCTAGAATTTCAAGTCTGGTGGCATAAGGCATTCTGCAACAAGGAGAGGAATGGAGAACTCTTCTTGTGAAATATTTCTGGACTTTCTCAACTGTGTTAATATCAGATACGTAATGCGGGTTCCAGACTGATGAGCTGTATTCGAGTATTGGTCTAGCAAATGTTTTGTATGCTCTAGTTAGTAGTGTGATGTTACCAGAGAAAAAGCTACGTAAGATTAGGTTAACAACTCTTAATGCCTTTTTGGCTATGTATTTATAGTGGGCTCTAGCACTTAGATCATTAGAGATGAGTACTCCAAGATCCTTGACAGAGTTTGGATCATCAACAAGGTCTTGACTATTCAGCTTGTATTTTATTTTCTGATTTTTTTTGCCAATATGTAAGACAGAGCATTTATTTGTTGAGATTTGAAGTTGCCATTTGTTTGACCATTCTGATACATAGTCGAGGTCTTTTTGAAGGGTAGCAGTATTGTCTGTGGTGTTGAATAGCTTTACATCATCAGCGAAGAGAACGCAGTTGCTCTTAATATGATCACAGAGGTCATTTTTGTAGAGTATGAAGAGAGTTGGTCCTAGAACACTGCCGTGGGGGACACCACTGTTGACAGGTACAGAATTTGATAGGACGCTCCCAGTTTTGACTATTTGTTGTTGTTTGACAGGAATGCTTCTATTCAGTTATGCAGGTGTCCAGAGATACTGTAAGATTTTAGTTTTAGGAGTAGTTTGTAGTGTACCACTGAATCAAAGGCTTTACAGAAGCCTGTGTAGATTGCATCTATTGCTTTTCCCTGATCGAGTTGTGTAGTCCATATGTTTTTGCAGTGTAAGAGTTGCAGATTAGATAGATAGATAGATAGATAGATAGATAGATAGATAGATAGATAGATAGATAGATAGATGATGGATGGGGGGGAGGGATGGAGGGATGGATGGACAGATGGATTAGTGGATTAGTATCAATTTCTTATTCGAATCTCTTCTTCTTAACATTCCAAGTCAATTAAAACTGTCAATGTGAGAGGAAGAAAAGCCAATTCCATTTCCTTTCCCTTTCTTTTTCGCCGCTTAAAATTTTTTTCAGGAATAGTACTCGTCTTTAAAGTTCAGGTTCCAGGTACCTTAAATAGATGTTCTCCATTCAACCCGGTCAGTCAAGTTTTCTCCTTTAAACTTCCTCCTGCACAATCTTGTCCGGTCAGGTTCTTCTTTGAGGTGGCCATTTCTGACCACTGCTGCAACCACCTTTGGGAAAGAAAGTAATGGCCATCAGAGGAGGAGAGATGCAGCTCTCCTCAACCCAGCTGATGGCTCCCCCTTCTTCACCACCTCTACGGGGTGGCTTCAGCTTCAAATCTGGGCGACTAGGCGCACTCCAGCGGCGAGCACGGATCAAAACCATGCACAATTGCGATTTCAGTCCGTTGCCAAAGAAGCCTGAACCGGAAGTCCCAAAGCTGTAATTTTTATGGCCCCTTCTCCTCTTGCTATCCAAGAGGCGCTGAAGTATTCCCCGTTAGGAGAATGAGTGCACTCAGGGAAACGTAGTGAGAGTGATGTTGAATAACACACAACCAGCATACAGGTACACTGAATAGTAAAATGTAGGTTTTACTTCCAGTAAATGGGTAAACAAAATTCAACAAACAGTCCAAATCATACACAGTTAAAGCAGTTAGTAACAGTCCAGTCAGTCCAGGGATAATCCAAAAACGAAGTCAAGTATCATAAACAAAGTTCAGTAAATGGAGTTTGCTAACAGTTGCAAGACTCACAGTAATCCAAGCAGAACGACGATCAGGCAAAATGGCAAAACAGGAAATGGAAGAGGAGAGAAACCAGGTTTCTGGCTCCATCTTTTGGCCGTTGGAGGAACCTCAGCCAATCACAATTACAGCATTCTCTTAAAAGATACAACAGTATTAAATAACTATCCTGATTTATATATTTCCAACCCAACTGTTAGGTGACTATCATTCCTAACGAGGTGACAAGTTTCTAGACATCTGGCTCCAGTCCTCCAGTTGTATATCATGTACAAGTTATACAGATTCAATATAAGGTTTAAGATATTCAGGTTACATCAAAAAGGATTACTTATACCAACTCCCGCCCCCTTCTTCTTCTATTGAAGAATGGCAGATACACGGATCTGACAGGGATGGATGGATGGAGGGAGGGAGGGAGGGAGGGAGGGAGGAATAGATACTGTAGATAGATGAGACAGAGACAGAGAGAAAGATAGAGGGAGACACACAGACACACACACAGAGAGATACCCTTTTCCCATGGAAAATAAAACTTGGAGCCACAAAATCTGGGTAGGCATGGCTGGGTGTGTGTGTGTCGTGACTGAGTGGGAGTGATATCAAGTTGGCCACACCCACCCAGGTTTTGTGGCTCCCTGTGTTTTATTTTCTGTGGGAAACTGGTCCAAATATCTCTTTGAGTGTTTAATGTTGCAGACCCCTGACCTAGCCCTTCCCCCTCATGAAGGACATGCTCAACCATCTGATAAGAAGAAAAGAGTTTACAAAGCTAGACCTTTGAGAAGTCTACTACTGTGTGTGGATAAAAGAGGGTGATGAATGGAAAACCGCCTTCAATTGCCTGTTAGCAGCTTCCAATTTAAGGTTATGCCATTTGGGCTACAGGGAGCCCCAGCAGTGTTTATGCAACTCATTAATGAGGTGCTGCATGAGCACCTATATAAGGGAGTTCTAGTTTATTTGGGTGATATTCTCATCTTCAGCAAGACAATGGAGGGACATATCAAACTAGTGCAACAAGTATTGAAAAAACTCCTAGATGCTAAGCTTTATGCCAAGCTGTCAAAGTGTGAATCCCACAAGACAGACTACCTGGGCTACCAAGTGTCAAATGAGGGGATAGACATTTTTTATTTTTTTATTTCTACAAACACATCACACTGACATGGAAAAACCCCTCATCTGAAGATGAGCTGTGGCAGTAACCAAAATGGCTGCCACAAAGACAGTCTGAATACCTAA